CGCTGCGGCGCCTGCTCAAGGCAGACGCAGTCCCGACCTTCTCAGCACCAAGGAGGTCGACAGCAGCAGTAGAGGTGACAGAGGGAAGAAGGGGGGAAGGAGAACACCCCTCAAAGAACGGGGTACGGGGGTCGCCACAAGAGGAGCCTACAGCGACTATGCTAGCCTCAGCTACAAAGAGTTCCTTCTCGAGGAGGGCAATGGTGAGCTCAGTGGGGCAGCGAGCTAGGAAGTGGTCCCTGAGTGAGCGCAGAGTGTCAGGGAGGCGCGTGACTAGGTGGTAGAGAGTGAGCAAGAGCGGGGGTGGGTTCTTGGCAAGGAACTCATCAGGCATAGTGGCGCAGAAGCGAGCCTCACTAGTGCGGAGGTGTGTAATGAGGTCAGCGACTGTGTGGAAAGAGGCTAAGTCGAGGAACAGGTAGGGAAGAGAGAGACGGCCTAGTGCTGCAGAGGCCGGTGAGGAGTAGCAGGCAACGACATCAGTGTACAGTGCCTGCGCAGTCTTGTGCTGCCCAAAGTGCTTGCGCTCATCTATCGGCAGAGAGTTGCGAATAGCGAAGCGAGCGTGGGCGTCACGAGTCTGCCATTGTGAGCGGGCAGTGCTGTCAGCAGTAGCAGCAGGAGCAGTAGCGTGGCCTAGGGCGTGATCCTACAATGAGATGTCTTCCTTGGCAGTGAGCTGTAGGAAGAGGTGTAGGTCATCAAGCCAGGTTTCGAACTTCACTGGGCGGCCCTCAGCATCGAAAGCTAGCACAGGAGGGCTAGCCATAGCAGTTTTAGGAGGAAAAAAGTAGTAGTAGCAGTAATAGTAGTAGTAGGGACTCAGGTAGGGCGGCTCGGTCCAGTACAGGCGGCGCGGCTCGGGTCATGTAGGGCGGCGCGGCTCGGTTCAGGTAGGGCGGCGCGGCTCGGTTCAAGTAGGGCGGCGCGGCCCGGTAAGGGCGACGCGGCTAAGATCGGGCGGCGCGGCTCGGGTTGGGTCGGGCAGCTCGGTTCGGGCTGGGCGGCTCGGTTCGGGCTGTTCGGGTCGGGCGGCTCGTTCTGGGCGGGGACGTTCGGGGCCTCTAGGGGCGAGCGCGGGGCCGATCGGGGCCTTTAGGGGCGAGCGAGGGGCCGCTAAGGGCGAGCGCGGGGCCGATCGGGGGCCGCTAAGGGCGAGCGCAGGGCCGATCGAGGCCTTTAGGGACGAGCGCGTGGCCGTAAGGGGCCGCTAAGGGCGAGCGCGGGGCCGATCGGGGCCTCTAGGGGCAAGCGCGGGGCCGTTCGGGGCCTTTAAGGAGGTGAGTGCAGGGCCGACGGGGCCTCTAGGGGCGATCGCGGGGCCGAAAGGGGCCGCTAGGGGCGAGCGTGTGGGCCGTTCGGGGCCTCTAGGGGCGAGAAAACCGAGGCGCCCTAGGGCGCAAGTAGGTAGGTAGGTAGGTAGGTAGTGGTGGGCCCTAAAAAAATCGGTCCTAAGAAGGACCTGCTCTATACCATGTTGAAATCAATGAACAGGAATGAATGAACTAACAGTGAAATGAGTACAAGTACCAAACCCTAGAATTGTGTACCCCCTATAGGCTAACCTACTGTAGCCTAAACAAGCACAACATAATAATGTTTGACACTCCGCCTGTCTTCAAGGCGCGTTACGTTGCACGAGGCTTCAGTCAGCAACAGGGAGTTGACTTCTTCCAGACCTTCTCCCCTACCCCGAAGATGACCACTCTTCGGATGCTGCTGCACGTCGCTGCTCAGCGTGCCTACGAGCTACATTCGCTTGACTTCTATTCAGGCTGCCTACAGGCCGGCCTCCCGAGGAGATCTGGCTGCGCCGCCCACCTGGCTTCACTGGGTCGTTTCCTGCTGGTACCCAGTCAAGCCTCCGGCGGCCAGTCTACGGTCTCCACCAGGCACCCCGTGAGTGGCAAGACACACTGAGGACGACTCTTGCTGCTCTTGGTTTTGTTCCTTCCAATGCTGACCTGTCGCTGTTTCTACGCACCGACGCCACTCTGCCGTCGTTCTACGTTCTCGTGTACGTAGATGACTTGGTCTTTGCTACTGCTGACACTGAGGCACTTGCCCATGTGAAATCGGAGCTGTAGAAGAGACACACGTGCAGAGACTTGGGTGAGCTGACAAGCTATCTTGGCTTGCGGATCACCCAGGACAGAGCACAGCGCACCATTACCTTGACTCAGTCACACATGGTGCAGCAGGTCCTTCAGCGCTTCGGCTTCACGTACTCCTCGCCACAGTCCACTCCTCTGCCTACCGGTCACTCGCTCTCAGCTCCACCTTCGGACGAGTCCGTAGAGCCGAGTGTCCCGTATCCACAGCTTGTGGGCTGCCTCATGTACCTGATGACTTGCACACGACCTGACCTCGCATACCCTCTCAGCCTTCTGGCTCGCTACGTGGCTCCCGGCAGGCACCGAAAGGTGCACTGGGATGCTGCGAAGAGGGTGTTGCGCTACTTGTGCAGTACGTCGAGCATGGGGCTCGTGCTTGGAGGACGGGCTCGAGTCTTCCTCACTGGTCACGCAGACGCTTCCTGGGCTGAAGACTTGACTACGCTGCGGTCATCACAGGGCTACACCTTCAGCCTTGGCTCCGGCTCTGTCTCCTGGCGATCTACCCGCTCGTCTTCGGTTCACAGCTCCAGTTGTGAGGCTGAGATCTACGCAGGGGCCATGGCTGCACAGGAGTTACGCTGGCTCACCTACCTGCTGACCGACTTGGGAGAGCCGCCTCGTTCTCCTCCAGTACTGTACGTCGACAACAAGGCCATGATTGCCTTGTGTTAGGAGCATAGACTGGAGCATAGAACGAAGCACATCGCTCTGCGCTACTTCCTTGCTCGAGAGTTGCAGTAGCGTGGTCAGCTTCGTCTTGCTTACGTGGCCTCTCGGGCCAACACTGCTGATGTTTTCACCAAGGCACTTCAGCCTTGTGATCATCAGCGCTTCTGTACTGTTCTAGGCCTTGTACCTTCTGTGCCTCACTTGCTTACTTCTTGACTCTGCTTGTACCGTGATCTCTATACATATACCTGCATGCTTACACTTGCTAGGTTGTGTTCATTGTATTGCTTGTTCTCCATTATATAACTCTGCATGTGAACTGGCCTTGTGGCCATTTGCTTGTGCTCAGAACGTGTGGTGACGTCGTGATCCACCCTGAGCTTGCTTTGCCTTTCTTTACCGGTCTTGTGACCTCTTGTTCTCCCCCACTTTGCCTATGGGGGTGTGTCACACTTATATGCTATAGTCTATTTAGGCTGTAGTGGGGTAGTTCATATAGGGTACAACACTTTTAGGTTTCCTACTTGTACCCACCTGCTTGCTAGTTCAGTCATTCCTTCCCTCACTATACTGACAATATCACGTGTAGTCGAACGTTGGTTGCGATGAATAGGCGAGCCGTTTTTTCGGCTGAGATCGATTTCCTGCACGCAGCGAAGTGAAACATTTTCGTCAGTTTGTCAACGACGACCATTACCGCGTCGTTACCCCCCAGGGTTCGAAGGTAACCTCGTGATGAAATCCATGGTAACTTGCTGCTAGGCGCGTTCGGGTGGTGGAATCGGCTGCTATTGACCCGCCTTTCTCTTTCGCGAGCTCTTCATCACCTGACACGAGCCCACGTGGTGTTGTACGCTGGTCAACAGTTCCGGCCTGTAGTAATACTGCTGCAGTTGCTGTCGCATTTTTTCTACCCCGAAGTGACCCGATGTAACCCCGTCGTGTGCCTCCTGTAGTAATAATTCCCTCAGTAGTGAGTACGCGGGTACCCAAATGCGGTTGGTGCCTGTTTTTATGTAATAGACTCCCTTGGCTTATGCCAGTTGCTGTGAACTTCCGGTCGTGAAAAATGGGTCGGCGCGATATCCGTGGGTGAATAGGCCTGTTAACAGTGGGTTTGTTTGGGCGAGTAGTATGGCGTGCAGTTGTCAATAGGCGGTTCTCACTCAGTATTTAAAAAACTTCTTCGATGTCCTGTAGGTGTTGTGCTCTGTCGGTGTTGTAAATCAGTATGTCGTCAAGATACACGATGACGCACTTCTCCAAAAGCAGGCGGAAGGCTTCGTTCATGGTCATTTGATCAGTGGTGGGGGCGTTGGTCAGTCCGAAAGGCATGACGGTGTATTCGAAGGATCCGTAGTGTGTTCGGAAAGCTGTTTTCGGGCAGTCGGGTGGGTTGACGTGGATTTGGTGGTAACCTCCTCGAAGGTCGATTTTCAAGAAAACATGTGCTGTGCGTAGTTGGTCGATGAGTTCGTCGGCTCGCGGGATGGGGTAACGGGACTTGATGGCAACCTTGGTTAGTGCGCGGTATGTGAAAATAGTAGGTGTGGGGCCTAGGCTTAGTAGCCTAGGCCCACACTAGGAGATAGGTAAGTTCGAGTGGGTTTCTCCTAGGGGAGAGTATCGAGAAATTGGAAGAGAAGTGGTTTGACTAGCAAGAGTTGGGATACAAGTACATTGCCCTAAATTGGGTTGTACTCATTACAGAGTACCCCACTGCAGGCTAAACAACAAATATATTCTGACACACCCCCATAGCCAAAGTGGGGTGTAATCAGCAGAGCAGGCAAAATAGTACAAGCTCAGGGTGGATCACAATGTCACCACACATTCTGAGCACAAGTTAAAGAAGCAATAGTTTAGAGTTAAGAATTATGAGCAAAGCTAGTGGTAGTCACAACGGGCAAGTGAGGAGGAGGAGAGAGAGTGAGGGGAGAGGAGATAGGAGGAGACGGCTGAAGCTGCAGACACACGGGCAACAGGAGGCAGACTGGCACAGCGGCTACCGGACAGCGCCCGGACTACAGGAGTAACAGGCCCCGCGGCTCAAGTAGCGGCAGACGGGCAACGGACCCACGGGCGGCTGGCGTAGAAGTCTAGCTCACTAGGCTACCGGGACAGCGCCCCGGACTACAGGTGCTGCGGACTACAGTACGGCAACTTCCATGCAGCTTCCCCAAACAGTCCCACCCCCCTGACACACACCCGCTGCTACACCGCTAGCTCCACTCCCACGCACCCCCCTTAAACCCTAAACCCCAGTCTCCCACACAACCACCCCCCTCAGCGACAGCTGCAGCAGTGGGAGACGACGGAGGAGGAGAAGGAAGGGGCGACACAAACGGAGCACCCCCACACCCGCAAACGGGGGGGGGGGGGGGGGGGGGGGGGGGGGACAGTGCGCACGAGGGCGCAGACAGTAGCAGAGCGCACGGGGGCGCGAGCACGAGACACGGGCAGCAACAGGCACGGGCAGCACAGGCACGGGCAGCACAGGCACGGGCAGCACAGGCACGGGCAGCAACAGGCACAGGCAGCACAGGCACGGACAGCACAGGCACGGGCAGCACAGGCACGGGCAGCACAGGCACGGGCAGCAACAGGCACGGGCAGCACGGGCACGGGCAGCACAGGCACGGGCAGCACAGGCACGGGCAGCAACAGGCACGGGCAGCACAGGCACGGGCAGCAACAGGCACGGGCAGCACAGGCACGGGCAGCACAGGCACGGGCAGCAACAGGCACAGGCAGCACAGGCACGGGCAGCACAGGCACGGGCAGCACAGGCACGGGCAGCACAGGCACGGGCAGCAACAGGCACGGGCAGCACAGGCACGGGCAGCACAGGCACGGGCAGCACAGGCACGGGCAGCAACAGGCACGGGCAGCACAGGCACGGGCAGCACAGGCACGGGCAGCACAGGCACGGGCAGCAACAGGCACGGGCAGCACAGGCACGGGCAGCACAGGCACGGGCAGCAACAGGCACGGGCAGCACAGGCACGGGCAGCACAGGCACGGGCAGCACAGGCACGGGCAGCAACAGGCACGGGCAGCACAGGCACGGGCAGCACAGGCACGGGCAGCACAGGCACGGGCAGCAACAGGCACGGGCAGCACAGGCACGGAAGTACAGGGCAGCACAGGCAGGGCAGCACAGAGCGTACCGGGTCCAGGGGCGGCAGCTGCTGCAATCTCTGGCGGTGGCTGCTGCTGCAGGCTCTGGCGGCGGCTGCTGCTGCAGGCCTGGCGGCGGCTGCTGCTGCAGGGCGGCGGCTGCTGCTGCTGGGTGGCGGTGGCTGCTGCGGCAGAGCGGCGGCGGCTGCTGCTGTTGGATCGGTGGCGGCAGCTGCTGCAGGCTCTTGCGGCGGCTGCTGCTGCAGACTCTGGCGGTGGCTGCTGCTGCAGGCTCTGGCGGTGGCTGCTGCTGCAGGCTCTGGCGGCGGCTGCTGCTGCAGGCCTGGCGGCGGCTGCTGCTGCAGGGCGGCGGCGTCTGTTGCTGCAGGCCCGGCGGCGGCTGCTGCTGCAGGGCGGCGGCGTGTGTTGCTGCAGGCCCGGCGGCGGCTGCTGCTGCAGGGCGGCGGCGGCTGCTGCTGCAGGAACTGACGGCGCCCCGCGGGTCCCGCATGGGGCGTCGCGACGAGCAGGGGCGACGCCCCGCGGGTCCCGCACGGACGTCGCTACAAGTAGGGCGGCGCCGCGCGGGTCCCGCACGGACGTCGCGACGAGCAGGGGCGACGCCCCGCGGGTCCCGCACGGACGTCGCGACGAGCAGGGTGACGCCGCGCGGGTCCCGCACGGGCGTCGCGACGAGCAGCGGGGAGGGCAGCGCGCAGGCCCCCCGAGGGCGCTTCGAAGGACGGGAAAACCGCCGCGCGCCCCGAGCGCACGGCGGGATGAAAAACTCTGAAATCCTTAAAAAAAAATTTCGCCGCGCGCTCCGCGCGCGGCAGGAAGAAGGACTGCAGCGGAAGCATAGGGGCCCACAGGCCAAGGTAGAACGGGCTCTGATAACATGTGAAAATAGTAGGTGTGGGGCCTAGGCTTAGTAGCCTAGGCCCACACTAGGAGATAGGTAAGTTCGAGTGGGTTTCTCCTAGGGGAGAGTATCGAGAAATTGGAAGAGAAGTGGTTTGACTAGCAAGAGTTGGGATACAAGTACATTGCCCTAAATTGGGTTGTACTCATTACAGAGTACCCCACTGCAGGCTAAACAACAAATATATTCTGACACGGTAATCGATGTACATGCGAAAACCTCCTTTTTCGGTGTGAACAGTATCGGTGCTGCGAAGGGTGACGAACTCGAGCGAAGGAAATCCTTCTCGAGTAGCTAATCCAACTGCTTCCTTGGTTCGTCTAGTTTGGGTTGGGTCAGTCAGAACTGTCGTTGTACTGTCGGCTGTGCCCCCGGTTCTAATTCTAACCTACGGTCGTGCGGTCGCTGAGGTGGCAGTCCTATCGGTAGGTCATCAGGGAAAGTCCCACTGTACTACTTCAGTTGCGCTGCCAAGTCATCCGGTACATCTGCTAGAAGTTTCTGTAATTCCCCCCCCTTTGTCTGCTGCCTCAGCTTCCTGAATGTCAACCGCTTACACGTCAACTCCTGCCGCTACGGCGTGTATCATCGTGATTGCATTGACACACACCGACGACGACTCAGGCGAGCCCCACTCGCACGGTTGTTGAGCCCCAAACGAGGTAAGGCGATGTTTTTACCGTTGTGTCGTCGCAGCCAATCACGGCCGAGTAAAATGTCGGTTCCGTCGAGGGTTGTCGCAAGCATTTCCTGACTAAACGTGAAGTTACCCCCGCATCGAATCCGAACTCGGTCCGCGTGATCGCCAGTGGCGTGCCGTCGACCTGTCTTGCGTCAATCTCAGGTAAACACCTGTCCAGTGGCAGTCTCAGTTTCCGTGCCGTGGTGGTGTTGATCAGGCTGTGGCTGACTCCGTCGTCTACTAGGGATGTCTACCGTGGTACCCTCCTTATTCGGCCGGGTGTGGTCGATTGCGTGAACCAGCACAATCACTCGGTGAGGGTCGGTTGGGTCGGGCGAGCGGCGTGACCTGTCAATAGATGGCATGTCTGCTACTGTTTCCCAGCGTTTCCCTACTGCTTGGTCTGTTTCTGGTGCTCAGCTTACCCCTTTCCCTTAGCGTTTTCCGGGCATTCGCTTTTGCGGTGTCCCGGCCGATTGCACGCGAAGCAGCGCCCTTTAAGTGGTGCGGCAGCGGCATTCACGGTGATGGCACGTATCATAGCGCCCTTGTTTGTCCCACAAGACCGATGTCCCCAGTTGTTGCTACTTCCGTAGGACCCTGGTCTTGGTCGACCGATGTCCCCAGTTGTTTCTCAGCCATAGCGAGAATTTCCTAAAAGTCGGTGACACCGCGGAGCTGGATTTCCTGAGCAATGTCGTGCTTCAGGCCGCCGATGTAGCGGTCGATGCGCTCAGATTCGTGCATGTAGCCCATCTGCTCACACAGCGCCAGAAACCTGCTGGTGTAATCTTGGACGGATCCGAGTTGGCGCCAAGTGCAAAGCTTCTGACGCGCCGCGATCGAAGCTGTACTTGGCTCAATTCGAGTGCGCAGACCTGTGCACCACGTGTCCCATGTGCGATATTGGGGCACCTCCACGAAATACAACGGCGCCCAGGGTCCGGTTTGTCCTTCCCGTGTCGGTAGAGTTGCATAGTCCACCGGCTTCGTGACGATGACACGCCACCAATCCATGGCGGGTCCTCGCAGCAGCGACACGGCGTAGCGGATTTTCGCCGTATCCTCCGAGACGTAGTTGGCGTCGAAGAAAACGTTCAACGTGAATAACCACGCCTGAACGGTAGGACCACCCCGTTCACTCGGGTCAAAGCATGGCGGACGCTGCGGCTTCAGCGGCACTGGCGACGGCAATGGCGATTCGCCGGCCAGCACAGAAATCGTGACGCGGGGCTGACTCTTGGCCGCATTCGTCTCGTCGGGGTGTGTCGTGTTGTGGTCGTCGTCTTTGTCGTTGCAGACGACGCCATCACTGGCTGCGCTCGCGGGTTTCCCCACACTTCCGTGCTGCGATGTCTGTGGTGCAGGTTGTCCTAGAGTGCCAGGCGCCTGCCGCCCGTGCAGCTCGCACGCCGCCCGCTTGCAGCTCGCCCGCTGCCCCTACAGCCCGCGCGCCGCCCGCTTGCAACCCGCCCGCCGCCCCTGCAGCCCGCGCGCCGTTGGCTTGCGGCCCGCCCGCCACCCCTGCAGCCCGCGCGCCGCCTGCTTGTGGCCCACCCGCCGCTCGTGCAGCTTGCTCGCCGCCCACCCTGTGGCCCGCCTGCCACCCCTTGCAGCCGGTGAGCCACCCTCCGTGCAGCCTATGCGCCGCCACTTGCGGCCCGCTCGCCGCCCCTCTGCTCTGCCTGCGTGATGTGCGCCGTGCGCCGTGTGCCGCTCTGCTCTGCCTGCATGGTGCTCTGTCTGTAGCGCGCCACCCTGCTCTGCCCGCTATGGCTTCTCTCCGTGTCCTCACGTTCGATCATGAGGGCCGTCCGATCCAGTTTAACATGTGGCTTGACAACTTACAGCTGTACCTACTGAGCGACATTAGAGACAGCGTTTCGTTGTTTGACCACACGTCTGGCGCCTCTCTCGCCCCTCCTGCCTCAACTGGCAGTGCGACTCACTCACAGTGACTTACCCATGACGCTGCTGCTCGCTTATCCATTCGCAACCACCTGCCGTTAGCCGAATGCGTTCACTTCGGACAGCACAAGACTGCTAAAGCACTGTAAGAAGTTGTAGTCGCCCGTTACTCCTCCCCTGCCACTGCTGCTCTAGGCCGTCTTATACTGCCCTACCTCTTTCCCGAGCTGTCCGCCTTTTCCACGGTAGAGGACCTCGTTTCCCACCTTCGCACTAGCGACGCTCGCTACCGCGCTGCCCTCCCAACAAAGTTCCTTGACAGGTTCCCCCATCCGATGTACATCACTCTCTACTTCCTAGTCACCCGCTTTCCTGACTCTCTTCGCGCAAGCAGGGACCACTTTCTCTCCCTTGACCCCACGGACCTCAATGTTGACCTGCTCGAGTAGCACCTCATTGCAGCTGAGAGTAGTGCAGTTGCTGTAGGCGCCGCTTGTGGCACTCCTCGCATGCCCTTCTTTGAGGGGTGTTCCCCCTCCCCCCTTGCCCCCTCCTACGCCTCTGCTGCTCCTGTTGACGTCTTTGGTGCTGAGGACGTCGGGGCTGCTTCTGCTAGTGGGAAGCACCGCAGCGGCAAGGACAAGGGTGGCAGGAGTGGTGGAGGTGGCAGCGGTAGTGGTAGTGGGGGCGGCAGTGGAGGTGGTGGAGGTAGTGGAGGTGGTGGCAGCGGTGGGAGTGGTGGCGGGAGTGGGGGCTCTGGTGGCGGCAGTGGTGGCAACGGTCGGAGTGGCGGTAGTGGCGGCGGCGGGGGTGGTGGAAGTCGGGGTGGAGCTGTTCAGAGGGGAGGTTCTAGCGATGGCCTGCGGCAGCAGCAGGAGCGTCGCAGCGAGACCTCTTCACCCCAGCAGCTTCATGAGTGGGTTGCTCAACGTGGGGCGTCTGGGGGTAGTGTTAGCTGCCCGTGTGTCATTTGCACGGGTGACCGTGCTAGTCATACATGGGGGTTTGGTGGCGGCAGTGGTGGCCGCGGTGGGAGTGGCGGTAGTGGCGGCGGCGGGGGTGGTGGAAGTCGGGGTGGAGCTGTTCATAGTGGAGATTCTAGCGGTGGCCTGCGGCAGCAGTAGGAGCGTCGCAGCGAGACCTCTTCACCCCAGCAGCTTCATGAGTGGGTTGCTCAACGTGGGGCGTCTGGGGGTAGTGTTAGCTGCCCGTATGTCATTTGCACGGGTGACCGTGCTAGTCAGACATGCGGGAAGCCTCACACTCAGCACCGCTGCTTCTCCCGCCTAGACGACGCTTGGCGCGCAGATTTTGGTGACGATGCCGAGCGCCCGCGCTGGGCAGAGCTGTTTAGGTCTGGAGTTGCTATCTTTAATCTTGACTATGATGCTATCCTTGCTGCTATGTATGCCTTGTCTGTTAGTGCTGAGGGTTACTCTGTGTGTGCCGCCTGACCCAGGTATAGAGGCTACTGCTATAGGTGCTAATGAGTCTGCTCACCCTGGTACTGCGCCTGCTGAGGCCTTGCACACCTTTACGCTTGACTCAGGTGCTTCCCGCTGTTTCTTTCGCGACAGTACCACCCTCACTCCACTCCATGCACCTGTTCCGGTCAGACTGGCTGACCCGTTAGGGGGCCCAGTTCTTGCCCGTTCCTCCACCGTTCTCCCGTGTCCAACGGTTCCGTCCGCTCTGTGGGAAGGTTGTGAAAAGGTGGATATTGCATGTTGTCAATGTCAAAGTTACATTTGCAAGTTTTGTATCACTGCCTACAGCATAGGTTAGTGTAGTTTTTGTAGTTAGATTCCATTGGTGGTGTACCTACTGTTGCTTGCCTTGCCTGTTCGTCCTCTCCCATCTCAGTAATGCAAGCCCTATTGCCTAGCTCTTCTAATTCCTAAGCTACGAAGTATAGTTATTCGACAGTCATTGCTGAAGAGTGGAGATGCGTGTGGATCGGGCATATGTAGGTAGCATGTCAATGCTGCATTATTCTTCAAGAATGTGAATTCTTACCTGTCCTTGCAAAGGAACCATGATTAAATGTATTATACTTTCAGAATCCCAGTCACTAGACCACTGGGATAAAAGGGATTGTCAAGTAGCGGGTTAGTGCGCCCAAAACCCCCCAGGACAACGAGCCTGTAACCCTTCCCTAGGATCAATCGGGGATCACCAGTGGACCTCTAACACAACCCCCCCCCGCACTGGGATGCCCGAAGTGCACACACTGGGATTCGAACCTGAGACCTTTGCTCTGATACCATTTCAGAATCCCAGTCACTAGACCACTAGGATGAAAGGGATTTTTAAGTAGCGGGTCAGTGCACCCATAACCCCCCAGGACAACGAGCCTGTAACCCTTCCCTAGAATCAATCGGGGATCACCAGTGGACCTCTAACAGATACTTGCCCTTACATCCCTTCCTCCCTGCTCTCGTCCCTTCCACCTCTATCTCATCCCTTCCTCCCCTCGCTCGTCCATTCCACCCCTCTCTCATCCCTTCCTGCCCTCTCACATCCATTCCCCACCTCTCGCACCCCTTCTTCCCCTCTCTCATCCCTTCCTCCCCTTTCTCATCCCTTCCTCCCCTCTCTCATCCCTTCCTCGCCTCTCTCATCGTTTCCTCCCACTCTCTCCTCCCTGCCTACCTTCTCCCTTCCCTGTTCTTCCTCTCTCCTCCCTGTCCCTCCTCTCTCTTGCTTGTCCTTCCATTCTCCTCCCTTTCCTTCCTCTCTCCCCAATAACTTTCCTCCCCCCCTGCGCCTACCTATATCCTCCCTATCCTCCCTCTCCTGCCCCTGTTCTCCCTCTCCTGCCTCTTCCCCTATATCTCTCCTCCCTCTCCTGCCTCTCCTTCTACTCCTGACTCTTTCCTCTCTCTCTCTCTCTCTCTCTCTCTCCCATCTTTCTTCTCCTTTCCAAAGCCCCTGTTAGTCTGCCAGCACGCCGCCTCATGTCTTCGCGGCATGGAAGATGACTCCGTCCACATTATAAGCACACACTTTTACACATTCTAGCTGCTTGAAGACATGCAACTGCAGAGGACATGTGCCTTCTCCAAGATTGGGTGTTGTAGTGAATGTATAGAGCAAGACCTGCTCGTTGCATTGTTATAATGTGACAAGTGTGTGACACGAAAGGTTTGAAGCACACCCTTAGGACTCTACGAGAGTAGCACAAGGACACACCCAATATTTAGTTTCAAATTGATTTACACCATAGCAGAATCCACACTCTCCACTATAGCGAGCACTGCCTAAATGCACTCCTGACACGCCTACCACAACCACACTACCATCTCAAACTGCCACAGCATCTGATCATTCTCCCTTGTCGCTCCTTCCAGGCATGCACTCTACTGCCCCTCCCTCAGCCGCCGCTCCCTCAGCCGCCCCTCCCTCTGCTGCCCCACTCTCTGCTACGCCTCCCCTCTGCCGCCCCTCCCTCTTCTGCCCCCGACTCTGCTGCCCCGCTCCCTGATTTCCCCCCCTCTATAGCCCCTCCCTCTCGTACCCCACCCTCTGCTTCTCCACGTTGCATTTTGGGATAAGGTAATGGCGTAAAGAACCAATTGTTATACCTGCAAGACCACAGCCTAATGGCAGAGGCCGAGAGAAGTTTAATCATTGGAGGGCAGGTTGGAAGCGAAGAGAGGTCAGGCAGGGGTGGAGAGAAGGCGAGTTGCGGGAGGAGAGAAAGAGGGATAGAAGGGCGGACCTTTGTTCTAGTTCCGACACTTGGTCTTAACGCGGTTGCTGTAGTTGCCATTTCTAGATTCGGTATTTGTCTCCCCCATTTGTGACTGAGGCTGCTAGATATGGGGGAGGCACATACCGACTCCATTCCCACAATTCCAACAGAATCCACCTCCCCTGGCCGAATCCATTACTCTCCATGGCACTACTCCTGTCGGGCCATCCCACCAGCATCGCCTTGTTATTGCCTGCTCCTTCTTTTGCCTCGAAGGCGTGTTTAGGCGCCTCATATTAGACACACCTCTGATCAGAATTGCACGGCTCAATGCGTTTCAGTGCGGTTGAATGCGGTTACATGTGTTTTATTGCAGTGCAGTGCGAGTCTGAGGAGAGGTTGATCTGATAAGAGGCCTTACCGCCATACAAACACACCCTACTGAGTCTACATAACCCCCTTCTCTTCATATATTGAAGTTTAGCTGCAGGAGCCAGAAATCACTGCACCAAGTGCGACTATAACGAGGGTAAAACGCGATAAAACGCCCGAATCGGGAGTTCTTTCCGGGCAGCCCAAAGGGCAGCAACAAAAGCTTTTGTAGCAGTGGAGAGGACGGAAGGTCAACAGGGGGGGTGTGAGGCATGTGAGGGGTGACATGGAGTGCGGGGATGAGGAGATAGAGAGCGGTTGCTGCCATATGAATGGTGGAGAGGAGAGAGGTGAGATTGGCAGGGGGGTGTGGGGCATGTGGGGTGTGCGGTCGAATGTGGGGGGCAGGAGGTTAAGTGTGGTTGCAACCATAGGTGAGCATAGGTGAAACAGAGGAAAGGGGAGAGAGGAAGGTGAAGAGGATGAGGTAGAGAGTGGTTGCAGCCAGTGACTAGATGCAGAAGAGGATGGTGGAGGGTAGGACGAGCAGGAAATGCCTCTTGTTGACCTGACTCACATAGTTATCAAGTGTTGCGAGGGGAGGTGGGGGAGGGGGGGAGAGGGGAGAGAGGAGAGAGTGATAGAGTGAGAGGGAGAGGGAGAGAGAGAGTGAGAGGGAGAGGGAGAGAGAGAAGGGAAGGTGAAGAGGGGGAGATAGAGCGTGGTTGCTCCATTGGGGCGACATAAGTGCAGTTGGGGATGGTGAGGACCGTTTGAAGAGGAGGAATTGTAATTGAGATGATGTAATTGCGGGGGATGAATGGAGAGACGATGGAAACGGTGGTGATAATGCCACCAACTGTAACGATGAGGGAGGAGAGCAGAGAGAAAGGGGGGGAGCAGATGGAGAGAGGAAGAAAGGAGGTGAGAGAGGAAGGGAGAAGGTGCAATGGACAAAGGGTGAAGTGGACAGAGGATGGGGATGGTGGTAAGCATGCCAAAACTGGAAAGATGACGGGGGAGAAGGGAGAAATGGGGGCGGGGAAGGAAGACAATAATTTAAAGTCACACAAAAGCACTCCGCCCTTGTGCTAGGATGCTAGGATCCCACCAGGAAATGCACTCTCGGGCAACCAGGCTTCTGGAGCAGCAGCAGCAGAAGCAGAAGCCTAGCTAGCTACGCCTGCACCGGCTGTCTTGCCACGGTTGTGCACGGATTGAACTGGCAACCTGTTGAAATCTGAGGACTTTGGCGGGGGGGGGGGGAGGGGGGGGAGGAGAGATTAGGGTGGGATACACTTGGTTCAGAAGTAGAAGGTAGGAAAAGAGGGGGGGAAACAAAACAGTTTGGTTCAGGGTAGATGAATATCACATTAAACATCAGAATACATAATTTTTTTCTACCAAATAAACCACTGACCAGGACTACCCTTCCAAAATCCACGTCCCGCCCATATATGTCCTTAGCTCATTGCTACCGATGCCTATCCATTTACGGTTCATCTTCCTCCCTTTCCTCCTCCCCATCTTACTCCTCATCCTCCTGCTCCTCCTCCTCCTTTTCCTCATCCTCCTCCTGCTCCTCCTCCTCCTTTTCCTCCTCCTCCTCCTCCTCCTCCTCCTCCTCCTCCTCCTCCTCCTCCTCCTCCTCCTCCTCCTCCTCCTCCTCCTCCTCCTCCTCCTCCTCTACCAATTCCTCGACCGCAGCATGCTCCGCAGAGACGGGAGAGTCAAGGCTATCCTCTGCTGCCACCTCCAGCCCCTCTCGAGAACCGTCCCCCCTGTTTTGCACCGCCGGCCAGTTGTGCGCAATGTATGCCATATCGGTGCACTTTTTGAAACCCAACTTCTTGCGCCGGCTAGTGCGTACTGAATCCCACTCTGTCCAGTTCCAATCGCAAGTCGCTGCAGACACGGGCTGAGAGAGAACCCGGCATGCAAGGCCCGTGATCTCAGGGTGGTCACAGCTGTGATTAGTCCACCACTGCACCATGCTGAGCTTCCCTTCCCTCACTGCATCCCGCTCAGCCCGCGCGTCACACGAATGAAATCTACCATGAATCGAATTCCCGAATGCGAAAAAACCGTCTTCCAGGGCCGAAGAAGTCCTCCTCTCCACTCCCTCACGAGCGAAGTTAAAAACACTGTCCAGAAAAGCCGAAAGATTCCAGTTTCGCGCAAGGAATTTGCTGTGGCTGTCAATGTAGGCCTTGAAGGCCCTTGATATTTCTGGGTCCCTACCGAAAATCTCACGATCCTGGTTGGCCGGATTGAGGATCTGGCCCACCACGTGCAAAGTACACGCAAAGCTCCCGAGCCACCTCTCCTTCACAAGCTCCGAAATTCCATCCTTCTCCGCTTCACTCAACAACTCTCCATCTCCCTTCAGTACCTCATCCACATCTTGTGACAATTGCAGCACCATGTCATACATCCGACCCATCATTGCGTTGCCGCTCGAAGCCGTCTCCTGCATCACCGCATACACTAGCTTCATCAGCTTCGAGAACAACTCAGCAGCCTTCCACCACGCTGAGTCCCCGACAAACGTGGCGAATCCCTCAGCCTCCTCCTTCGCCTTCTGCTTCGTCTCTGTAAACCACACCTTCCATGCTTCGCTCGACACCATCCGCGCCAGCTGCGGCCGAAGCTCACAAAGGCTAGACACAGCAACGTACTGTGCTCCGAACCTTGCGTTTCGCGACCTCAACACTTGCAACACCTTGCCATCGGGCTGTCCTATGCTCTTCAGGCAGTAGCGTATCGCGCCGCCGTGGATACGGAGAAACCCAATAAGCTCATCCGTCCTGTCAACCACCCCCTTGGCCCATGCCATCTTCCCAATCTCCTCCATCATTCGATTCAACGCATGAACAGCAGAAGGCACATACTCAATATGCGGCCACTCGCGTATCAATTCCGTGCAAGCACCAGCGTAGCTACTCCCACCGTCCATGCAGAGAGCAACAATGCTCTCGGGCCCGACCTTCTCCACAATCGCCCGTAGGGTTCTGCGAATGTAGTCGGATGTCTCGGCCTCCACACTGCAGTCCTCCTTCCTGCAATCGACCTTACTGCGGCCCTCCACACTGCAGTCCTCCTTCCTGCAATCGACCTTACTGCGGCCCTCCACACTGCAGTCCTCCTTCCTGCAATCGACCTTACTGCGGCCCTCCACACTGCAGTCCTCCTTCCTGCAATCGACCTTACTGCGGCCCTCCACACTGCAGTCCTCCTTCCTGCAATCGACCTTACTGCGGCCCTCCACACTGCAGTCCTCCTTCCTGCAATCGACCTTACTGCGGCCCTCCACACTGCAGTCCTCCTTCCTGCAATCGTCCTTACTGCGGCCCTCCATACTGCAGTACATGCTGCAGTCAATGCTCTCCATGAACACGCGCCCAGAGTCGTTGATCAGCCACACATTGGCTTGCGAACGGCCGCGCCTATCCGTCATCGTGTCAATTGCGAGGGTGACGCCATGCCGCTTCCAGCTCGCTGCAACGGGCTCCAATTCCCGCTCGATCAATACTCGGGACTGCTTCAATCCAGAGCTACCGATGTGGCGGCGATCGGGAGGGATGTAGCTGCTTCCCGCACGTGCAATGGCTTGCACCGCGTTGCGCCAAAGCGGGTGATCAGCGTGCTGTGCAGGAATGCAGAGGCCGGCGTAGAGGAGGGAGATCGCCTCATCCGCCGCGTTTTTCTTTTCTAAGGCTGCGTCCTCGGAGAAATCGGAGAATGCAGTCATGCGGCTCCTCTTGACGCTTCCATTCACCGTGCTGAAGGAAGTGCTCTCCACCCTTTCCGTATGATCCTGAACGGCCTGTTTTGTCATATCCGCCATCCATAAGAAGGAAGTGGGTGGGAAAAATAAGTCATGCGGCTCCTCTTGGCGCGTCCATTCACCGTGCAGAAGGACGTGCTCTCCACCCTTTCCGTACCTTCCCGGGCGGCCTGGTTTGACGTTGCAGGGGGGGCTACACATTTTCAGGGAAGTCACTCATGCGACTCCTCTTGGCGCCACCATTCACCGTGCTGAAGGACGTGCTCTCCACCCGTTCCTGATATTCCCGGGCGGCCTGGTTTTGTCATACACGTCATCAATAAACAGGGAAGTGGGTGGGAGCAGGAGGGACAAGGTGTGGGGTTGCAGAGGGTATTGGGACCAGGAGACCAGGGTTGAGGCTACAGGGGGGATTGGGAAGCGGGAAACTAGAGGTGAGGCTGCAGGCGGAAGAGTCGGAGACAAGGGTTGAAGCTGCAGGGGGGGATGGGATATGAGGATGAGGTTGCGAGGGACAAGAGACAAACTGGTTTTTGAGAATTCTCAAAAACGAGGCAACGGGGAAAGGGAACGGGAGACGAGGGGTGAGGCTGCAAGGGAGAATTGGAGCGGGAGACGGGAGGTGAGTTCGCAATGAAAGCTATGTTCAACAAAGGGCAAGACGGCAGGTAGAGGAAAGGCGAGTTTTGAGGGAAAGATAATCGAGTCGACTCAAACGGTTTTCTGGGTCGTCTCAAAACGATTCTCCGAGCGACTAATAAAGAGGGGATTGGGAGCGGGAAAGTGGGAGGGTGAGGATGGAGAAACCGAGTTCACGAAATTGGAACGGCAGTAACGGGAGGGGAGGAGGAAATCTACTACGTTGGGATTCGAGAATTTCGTACCATTTGGAAATAACTCTAACGCCGCGTGCCAACGAATGTCGGTCGTCTCCACACTGAAAAGTGTATAAATTCTAGACCTCGCTAAGCATGACGTGAATGGGAGGGGACGATGCTTCTGCTGCTGCTGCTCCTACCGTTCCTGCTGAGGACATTCCCTAGGTGGTGCAGGTTTCTTCGCAGATCGTGCTTTCATACGCAAATTGGTGAATAACGATTGGTCTAAAGTGGTGAGGCCCACAACCGAACCGAACCACATTGCACTGCATCTTGTCTAAATTGCTTTTCAGCGAAGCGCAGCTGATCACTTCTGACTGACGCGCTGTTCGGGAATTGGCGGGAAATGCCCCAGTTTAGATGTATCGCCAAGTGCAGCGAGTTCCGTTGTAGCACATACGGTAAGTTTCTAACACAATCCAGCACACCGTCCTATTATATTTTTTCCGGATTTTTTTAATATATATCCTGACAGCACATTTACGTCATTCCATCAACCAAAAGGCTTGGTAATTGGAAGATAGGGATGTGGTTTAATGTGCACAAGAAGGCTCACACACACATAAACACAAGAAGCGAAAACACGAGCATTCAATGCAATACTTGCTCATGTGGAGCAAAGTATTGTGAGTCACTCACAACAATGCTTATTAATGCAGGTCTTTCACTGCACACGGTGTTTCGTCGTGACCTGTGTAACCTTCATCGTCGCTGCTCGTATACTCTCCACCCCCCACACTCCTGCCAACCCTCCCTCTCCTCCTTTCCCACCTCGTGGTCCTCCTCCTCGAGTTCCAGCCCAAATAAAACCACACCGCCTTCCTCCCAGGCTTACTTTTTGAGTCGACTAAGAAAATCCCATCCCACACCTCTTGGTCCTCCTCAACTTCCAGCCCTGGTGAGGTCTCCCAAGCAGACCTCCTCCCCTTCCCAAGCCTGCCACGTGTCAGATCTCTCTACTCGGAGCACTGTCACTTGTCCAGCCTGTTGTCGACCCCCCGGCCCTCCACGCACCCTCACTGCTGCTCATCGTGTACCCTCCACCTCCCACACTCCCAGAAACCCCTCCAGTTCCCTCCTTTCCCTGTCCCTCACGTGCCTCTCGCATCATCTCTTCATAAACCTCTTGACCGTACTCCATCTCCTCCTCATCATCATTGAACCCCGGCACCAGAGCCCCTTCGTTTGCCATGTCCTCCCAGAATCTCTCCTCACTAACCGCACTGGTACCCGTGCTAAAAGCAGTGCTAGTAGCACCAGTGGTACTTACACTACTGCCTAGACCAGTGCAAGCACCAGCGCTAGCGCCACTGACGAAAGTAGCAGAGGAGACACCAGTGCCAGCACCACTAGCACCAGCAGCAGCGACAGCAACAGCAGCAGCAGTATTACCACCACCGCTGTCAGCACCACTGTCACCACCGCTCTCACCACCACTGCCAGCACCACCAGCTCCTCCTCGGAGCCTCACAATCTGGATAACCCTCGCCCGCATGGCGTCCAGCTCAGCTGCCACGTGTTGCATGGTGGGGCGGGCCTGCGACAGCCTGGCGCTGCACCGCATGCCCAGCTTGAGAAACCACTCAAACGTCGCCTCCACCTCCTCGGGAACACCACCTAAGCTTCCCCCTTGGGATTGCCCAGCGGCATCCACTACCACCTCCACATTCCCTCCTCCTCCCTCCATCGCTCCCCCTACCGCAGTCAGCAGCGCAGGGTCGATGACAGCTGTCGCGCCCCTGCCGCCCGACATGACGCGCTTGATGACCAGCTGACGGATGTGCTGGTTGTCACTGATTGGCCGGAGGCCCGTGGCGATCTCGAGCAGCACGATGCCGAAGCTGAACACGTCGCTCTTCTCGGTCAGGAGATCTGACATGTAGTACTCGGGGTCCAGGTAGCCCTGAAACAGGTGTGGTAGGGAGGAGACGAGAAACAGAGAGATGGGGACGAGAAACAGAGAGATGGGGACGAGAAACAGAGAGATGGGGTCCAAAGTGACACCCTCACCTTCTCCTATAGTCACATACATACCCCCCCGGTTATAGTCACCCCTCTTATAGTCACGTACCACGGTGCCCTTGACCTGCGTGCCCAGCTGCTCCCCCCAGCCTCCATCACAGCCTTGGAGATCCCAAGGCCATGCACGTGTGCCTGAATGACTCTACCCACAAGGGCTTATAGTTACAACCACACATAGCCACACCCCGTTATAGTCACACCAGCTCGTACCACGGTGCCCTTGACCTGCGTGTCCAGCTGCTCCCCTTCCATCACCGCCTTGGAGATCCCAAAGTCAGCCACCTTCATGCCCAAGCGCCTCTGCTCACAACTCATTAGTGTCACATGCGCTTATATTCACCGAGCTCACCCCCTTACAGTCACTCACCACGGTGCCCTTGACCTGCGTGTCCATCTGCTCCCCCTCCATCACCGCCTTGGAGATCCCAAAGTCTGCCACCTTTGCCTCCCCCGCTGCTGTGATTAGGATGTTGGCGGTCTGTGGTGGGGTGGGGTGGGGTGGGATAGGGTGGGGTGGGGGAGGAAGAATGGTAATTGGTTTAGGGTTAGTGAGATGCCAAAGTCAGCCACCTTCGCCTCCCCTGCTGCTGTGACTAAGATGTTGGCGGATTGTAGTGGGGTGGGGTGAGGTGGAATGGGGTGGGGTTGGTAGTGTGAGAATGGGGTAGGTGATAAGAGCTACATCCCAAAGTCTGCCACCTTTGCCTCCCCCGCTGCTGTGATCTGGATGTTGGCCGTCTGTGGTGGGGACGGGCGACGGCTATGGCCAGTGTGGGCAGTGGGGAAGGAAGGGGAAGTGGCGTGATTGGGGGCATTGGGGAGAGTGAGATTTCAAATTCCGCCACCTTTGCCTCCCCTGATACTGTGATCGGGATGTTGGCCGTCTGCAGTGGGGTGGGTTGCGGTGAGGTGAGGTGGAGGGAGATGGGGAGAGATGGGGAGAGGTGGGGGCGGATCATAAGAGTGAGATCCCGAAGTCCACCACATTGGCCTCCAATATGTTTGAGGTTGATTTTGAGAATTCTCAAAATCAACCGCAGTCCACCACCTTGGATGTTGACTTTTGAGTCGACTCAAAAGTCAACTCAAAATCAACCGCAGTCCACCACCTTGGATGTGGCCTCCAATAACGCTGTGATGAGGATGTGGGCCCACTTGCACGCACATCCTCATCACGCACATCCTCATACAAGCAATGTCGCACACGTGCACGCATACCCGCACACACTAACACATTCTCTCCCACCCACCCACCTTCACGTTGCGACGAATGATAGGCGGCTTGATCTGATGGTGAAGGTATGCTCAATAGCACGCACACATACACGCAATGGCTCACATGTGCACGCATACCTGCACACACCAGCACGTTCTCTCCCACCCACCTTCACGTTGCGGTGAATGATAAGCGGCTTGATCTGATGGTGCAGGTAGGCGAACCCCTTTGGGTTTTGAAACGTCCCTCGCACCCTCTCCTCCTTTCATCACTCACACCTCCCCCAACCCCCCGTTTCCCACCTTCACGTCTCGGTGAATGATAGGCGGCTTGATCTGATGGTGCAGGTAGGCGAACCCCCTGGCTGCTCCACAGGCGATGTCCAACCGCTGCTTCCATGTCAGGTGCAAGTCGGACTTGCCTGGTGCGTTGTGGGGGGGTTGAGGGAGAGTAAATTGGAGGAGCGAGAGGAGGGGATGAGAGAGGATGGAGCGGACAGGGAGATACAGTACAGCTTCATGCAGCAGCCACGCGAACCCCCTGCCTGCTCCCCATGCAATACCCAACCCAGCTTGTTGTGCTTGTCTCGACAGGCAGGCGCGTGCCTGACGAGCCTGGGGCATTGTGGGTTTCCTTTTTTTTTTAGAATTCTAAAAACACAGATCCAGAATGCAATGTCCAAATTGTTGTGCCACGACAGGCGTGTGTCTGGCGAGCCTGGGGCATTGTGGGGGGGTTGAGGGAGAATGAGGGAGAGGATGGAAAGAGTGAATGGAAGGAGTGAATGGAAAGAGTGAATGGAAGGAGTGAATGGAAGGAGTGAATGGAAGGAGTGAATGGAAGGAGTGAATGGAAGGAGTGAATGGAAGGAGTGAATGGAAGGAGTGAATGGAAGGAGTGAATGGAAGGAGTGAATGGAAGGTGTGAATGGAAGGAGTGAATGGAAGGTGTGAATGGAAGGAGTGAATGGAAGGAGTGAATGGAAGGAGTGAATGGAAGGAGTGAATGGAAGGTGTGAATGGAAGGAGTGAATGGAAGGAGTGAATGGAAGGAGTGAATGGAAGGAGTGAATGGAAGGAGTGAATGGAAGGTGTGAATGGAAGGAGTGAATGGAAGGTGTGAATGGAAGGAGTGAATGGAAGGTGTGAATGGAAGGAGTGAATGGAAGGAGTGAATGGAAGGAGTGAATGGAAGGAGTGAATGGAAGGAGTGAATGGAAGGAGTGAATGGAAGGAGTGAATGGAAGGAGTGAATGGAAGGATGTGAATGGAAGGAGTGAATGGAAGGAGTGAATGGAAGGAGTGAATGGAAGGAGTGAATGGAAGGAGTGAATGGAAGGAGTGAATGGAAGGAGTGAATGGAAGGAGTGAATGGAAGGAGTGAATGGAAGGAGTGAATGGAAGGAGTGAATGGAAGGATGTGAATGGAAGGAGTGAATGGAAGGTAGTGAATGGAAGGAGTGAATGGAAGGAGTGAATGGAAGGAGTGAATGGAAGGAGTGAATGGAAGGAGTGAATGGAAGGAGTGAATGGAAGGAGTGAATGGAAGGAGTGAATGGAAGGAGTGAATGGAAGGAGTGAATGGAAGGAGTGAATGGAAGGAGTGAATGGAAGGAGTGAATGGAAGGAGTGAATGGAAGGAGTGAATGGAAGGAGTGAATGGAAGGAGTGAATGGAAGGAGTGAATGGAAGGAGTGAATGGAAGGAGTGAATGGAAGGAGTGAATGGAAGGAGTGAATGGAAGGAGTGAATGGAAGGAGTGAATGGAAGGAGTGAATGGAAGGATGTGAATGGAAGGAGTGAATGGAAGGATGTGAATGGAAGGAGTGAATGGAAGGAGTGAATGGAAGGAGTGAATGGAAGGAGTGAATGGAAGGAGTGAATGGAAGGATGTGAATGGAAGGAGTGAATGGAAGGAGTGAATGGAAGGATGTGAATGGAAGGAGTGAATGGAAGGAGTGAATGGAAGGAGTGAATGGAAGGAGTGAATGGAAGGAGTGAATGGAAGGAGTGAATGGAAGGAGTGAATGGAAGGAGTGAATGGAAGGAGTGAATGGAAGGAGTGAATGGAGGGAAGGAGTGAATGGAAGGAGTGAATGGAAGGAGTGAATGGAAGGAGTGAATGGAAGGTGTGAATGGAAGGAGTGAATGGAAGGTGTGAATGGAAGGAGTGAATGGAAGGAGTGAATGGAAGGAGTGAATGGAAGGAGTGAATGGAAGGAGTGAATGGAAGGAGTGAATGGAAGGAGTGAATGGAAGGAGTGAATGGAAGGAGTGAATCGAAGGAGTGAATGGAAGGAGTGAATGGAAGGTGTGAATGGAAGGAGTGAATGGAAGGAGTGAATGGAAGGAGTGAATGGAACGAGTGAATGGAAGGAGTGAATGGAAGGAGTGAATGGAAGGAGTGAATGGAAGGAGTGAATGGAAGGAGTGAATGGAAGGAGTGAATGGAAGGAGTGAATGGAAGGAGTGAATGGGAAGGAAGGAGTGAATGGAAGGAGTGAATGGAAGGAGTGAATGGAAGGAGTGAATGGAAGGAGTGAATGGAAGGAGTGAATGGAAGGAGTGAATGGAAGGTGTGAATGGAAGGTGTGAATGGAAGGTGTGAATGGAAGGAGTGAATGGAAGGTGTGAATGGAAGGAGTGAATGGAAGGAGTGAATGGAAGGAGTGAATGGAAGGAGTGAATGGAAGGAGTGAATGGAAGGAGTGAATGGAAGGAGTGAATGGAAGGAGTGAATGGAAGGAGTGAATGGAAGGAGTGAATGGAAGGAGTGAATGGAAGGAGTGAATGGAAGGAGTGAATGGAAGGAGTGAATGGAAGGAGTGAATGGAAGGAGTGAATGGAAGGAGTGAATGGAAGGAGTGAATGGAAGGAGTGAATGGAAGGAGTGAATGGAAGGAGTGAATGGAAGGAGTGAATGGAAGGAGTGAATGGAAGGAGTGAATGGAAGGAGTGAATGGAAGGAGTGAATGGAAGGAGTGAATGGAAGGAGTGAATGGAAGGAGTGAATGGAAGGTGTGAATGGAAGGAGTGAATGGAAGGTGTGAATGGAAGGAGTGAATGGAAGGAGTGAATGGAAGGAGTGAATGGAAGGAGTGAATGGAAGGAGTGAATGGAAGGAGTGAATGGAAGGAGTGAATGGAAGGAGTGAATGGAAGGAGTGAATGGAAGGAGTGAATGGAAGGAGTGAATGGAAGGAGTGAATGGAAGGAGTGAATGGAAGGAGTGAATGGAAGGAGTGAATGGAAGGAGTGAATGGAAGGAGTGAATGGAAGGAGTGAATGGAAGGAGTGAATGGAAGGAGTGAATGGAAGGAGTGAATGGAAGGAGTGAATGGAAGGAGTGAATGGAAGGAGTGAATGGAAGGAGTGAATGGAAGGAGTGAATGGAAGGAGTGAATGGAAGGAGTGAATGGAAGGAGTGAATGGAAGGAGTGAATGGAAGGAGTGAATGGAAGGAGTGAATGGAAGGAGTGAATGGAAGGAGTGAATGGAAGGTGTGAATGGAAGGAGTGAATGGAAGGTGTGAATGGAAGGAGTGAATGGAAGGAGTGAATGGAAGGAGTGAATGGAAGGAGTGAATGGAAGGAGTGAATGGAAGGAGTGAATGGAAGGAGTGAATGGAAGGAGTGAATGGAAGGAGTGAATGGAAGGAGTGAATGGAAGGAGTGAATGGAAGGAGTGAATGGAAGGAGTGAATGGAAGGAGTGAATGGAAGGAGTGAATGGAAGGAGTGAATGGAAGGAGTGAATGGAAGGAGTGAATGGAAGGAGTGAATGGAAGGAGTGAATGGAAGGAGTGAATGGAAGGAGTGAATGGAAGGAGTGAATGGAAGGAGTGAATGGAAGGAGTGAATGGAAGGAGTGAATGGAAGGAGTGAATGGAAGGAGTGAATGGAAGGAGTGAATGGAAGGAGTGAATGGAAGGATGTGAATGGAAGGAGTGAATGGAAGGAGTGAATGGAAGGAGTGAATGGAAGGAGTGAATGGAAGGAGTGAATGGAAGGAGTGAATGGAAGGAGTGAATGGAAGGAGTGAATGGAAGGAGTGAATGGAAGGAGTGAATGGAAGGAGTGAATGGAAGGAGTGAATGGAAGGAGTGAATGGAAGGAGTGAATGGAAGGAGTGAATGGAAGGAGTGAATGGAAGGAGTGAATGGAAGGAGTGAATGGAAGGAGTGAATGGAAGGAGTGAATGGAAGGAGTGAATGGAAGGAGTGAATGGAAGGAGTGAATGGAAGGAGTGAATGGAAGGAGTGAATGGAAGGAGTGAATGGAAGGAGTGAATGGAAGGAGTGAATGGAAGGAGTGAATGGAAGGATGTGAATGGAAGGAGTGAATGGAAGGAGTGAATGGAAGGAGTGAATGGAAGGATGTGAATGGAAGGAGTGAATGGAAGGAGTGAATGGAAGGAGTGAATGGAAGGAGTGAATGGAAGGAGTGAATGGAAGGAGTGAATGGAAGGAGTGAATGGAAGGAGTGAATGGAAGGAGTGAATGGAAGGAGTGAATGGAAGGAGTGAATGGAAGGAGTGAATGGAAGGAGTGAATGGAAGGAGTGAATGGAAGGAGTGAATGGAAGGAGTGAATGGAAGGAGTGAATGGAAGGAGTGAATGGAAGGAGTGAATGGAAGGAGTGAATGGAAGGAGTGAATGGAAGGTGTGAATGGAAGGAGTGAATGGAAGGAGTGAATGGAAGGAGTGAATGGAAGGAGTGAATGGAAGGAGTGAATGGAAGGAGTGAATGGAAGGAGTGAATGGAAGGAGTGAATGGAAGGAGTGAATGGAAGGAGTGAATGGAAGGAGTGAATGGAAGGAGTGAATGGAAGGAGTGAATGGAAGGAGTGAATGGAAGGAGTGAATGGAAGGAGTGAATGGAAGGAGTGAATGGAAGGAGTGAATGGAAGGAGTGAATGGAAGGAGTGAATGGAAGGAGTGAATGGAAGGAGTGAATGGAAGGTGTGAATGGAAGGAGTGAATGGAAGGTGTGAATGGAAGGAGTGAATGGAAGGTGTGAATGGAAGGAGTGAATGGAAGGAGTGAATGGAAGGAGTGAATGGAAGGAGTGAATGGAAGGAGTGAATGGAAGGAGTGAATGGAAGGAGTGAATGGAAGGAGTGAATGGAAGGAGTGAATGGAAGGAGTGAATGGAAGGAGTGAATGGAGGGAGTGAATGGAAGGAGTGAATGGAAGGAGTGAATGGAAGGAGTGAATGGAAGGAGTGAATGGAAGGAGTGAATGGAAGGAGTGAATGGAAGGTGTGAATGGAAGGAGTGAATGGAAGGTGTGAATGGAAGGAGTGAATGGAAGGAGTGAATGGAAGGAGTGAATGGAAGGAGTGAATGGAAGGAGTGAATGGAAGGAGTGAATGGAAGGAGTGAATGGAAGGAGTGAATGGAAGGAGTGAATGGAAGGTGTGAATGGAAGGAGTGAATGGAAGGAGTGAATGGAAGGAGGTCGTTTTTCTCGATAAACTCATACACCAGCAGCTGCTCCCCCGCCTCCACACAGAAGCCGCGCAGCAGCACCAGGTTGCATTATTGCTACATTTAAAAGCTTCCTCACCTCTCAGCACCACTTCACACCTCCTCTCACCTCTCAGTATGTCCTCCAGGGTGCCTTTCTCAATGAATTCATACACCAGCAGCTGCTCCCCTGCCTCCACACAGAAGCCCCTCAGCAGCACCAGGTTGCGGTGCCGCACTGCCGACAACAGCTCTATCTCGTTGCGAAACTCCTTGCCGTTCACCTGGGGGTGTTGGGTGGTGTAGAGCGGTGTAAGGGAGTGTGCTGTGGTATAAGAAGGTCAAAGGGAGTGTGACAAGGTCAGCAGAAGCCCAGCCCCTGAGCAGCACCAGGTTGCGGTGGCGCACTGCCGACAGCAGCTCTGTCTCGTTTCAGAACTCCTTGTCGTTCACCTGGGGGAACAAGGAGAACAGAAAGGTGTAGCGCACTGTAGGAAGGCGAAAACGGAGTGTGGTGCGGTATACGGAGGTTAAAAGGAGTGCTCCGCGGTCTACAGAAGCCTCCGAGCAGAACCAGGTTGCGGTGGCGCACTGCCGACAGCAGCTCTGTCTCGTTTCAGAACTCTTTCCCATTCACCTGGTGGAATAGGAAGGTATACCATGGCACAAAGGGAGTTGTATGTGGTGTGGGGCGGTTGAAGGGAGTTCAGGAGGTCAGCCCCAACCCAACCCCTGAGCAGCACCAGGTTGCGGTGCCGCACTGCCGACAGCAGCCCTATTTCGCTGCGGAACGCAGCTCCATTCACCTGAGAGAACAGAAAGGTGTATAACGGCGTAGAAAGAGTTAGAGGGAGTCTGTTGTGGTATAAAACGGTTGAAGGTAGTGTCGCAAGGTCAGCAGAAGCCCCTGAGCAGCACCAGGTTGCAGTGCATCAGTGCCAACAGCAGCTCTATCTCGTTCTGCAACTCTTTGCCGTTGACCTGGTGGAATCAGAATAGTTCAAGGGAGTGTGGTGTGGTGTGGAACAGTTGAAGGGAGTAATCAAAGGTCAGAAGAAGCCCCATAGCAGCACCACGCCTGACAGCAGCTCTATCTTGTTGCGAAACACTTTTCCATTCACCTGGTGGAATAGGAAGGTATACCATGGCACAAAGGGAGATGTATGTGGTGTGGGGCGGTTGAAGGGAGTTCAGGAGGTCAGCCCCAGTCTGGTGGGATAGGAAGGAAAGAGAGCAAGTGCAACCATGGCTCAACAGTCACTTACACACGCATGCTTCTTCAGCTGATCTCACGCCTACAGGGCAATTTTGAGAGTTCTCAAGAATAACTTACACACGGATGTTCTCTCAGCTGACCTCACGCCTACTCAATTCATGCATCCTAACCATGCAGCCTCCCATCAACCATACATGCTCATAATCGTCAGCACTGCATTCAACCCACCTGCACGCCTGGCTTTGCCCGTTTGACCGCCACCTTCTCCCCTGATGGCAACTGCCCGTGATACACCTGTTGGGCGTGCGGTGGGGTGGCATGGGGTGGGGTGGGATGAGGTGGGGTGGGGTGAGCTGGGGTGAGCTGGGGTGGGGAACGGTGCACAGAGAGGAGGCTGGGAGAGGGCTGGGGGGGCATTCTACCGCCCCCTCTCACCTGACGCAAACTTCCCGTGGTACCCCTGAGGGTCGCATATGCCGTGCCAGCTCCCCCAGCTTTGAATTCCTCACCCCCTCTGCAATAAAAGTCGAAGTTGTGATGTCTCAAAATCCGTGTGTTGGGCTGGGCTGACTTTTGAGTCGACTCAAAAGTTGAATTTGTGACGTCTCAAAATCCGTGTTTTGGGTCCACTCAAAACACTTCCTCATCCCCACTGTGACAAAACTTGGATTTTGAGACGTCTCAAAATCCGTGGTACCCCTGAGGGTCGCATCTACCAGCTCCCCCAGGTTGAAAACCAACCCCCATTTCCTCACTCCCACTGCCTGGCTGGCTGTACCATCCCAGATGCGCCCTCCTCTCACAGACGTACCCACCCCGCACACCTGCCCCATACAACCTTCTTCTTCAGTTCGTACCTGTCCGTATCCGCCCTCCCCCAGCAGTGTCTTGAACCCCTGGGTCGCATCTGCCAGCTCCGCCAGCTTGAATCGCTGCACGCCCACCAGGTTCAGCCCCTCTATCGCCTCATAGTCCTCCTCCCCCCACCAGTCTGGTGCATGTGTGCGGGTGGGGGAGGGAGGGAGGGTGGGCGGGTGGGGAGGGAGGGAGGGGAGGAGGAAGGGGGAATTGAAGGTAAAGGAGGTACCAGTGCATCGGCCAGCTCTGCCAGCCTGAACCGCTGCACGCCCACCAGGTTCAGCCCCTCTATCGCCTCATAGTCCTCCTCCCCCCACCAGTCAGCCTGAACCGCCAGCCCGCATCTGCCAGCTCTGCCAGCCTGAACCACTGCACGCCCACCGGTTTAAGCCCCTTGATCGCCTCGCCACCAGTCTGGTTTGGGGTGGAGTGGAGGGGACAGGGGACGTGAAATAGAGCGTGGAGGGGTGGTAGATGGGTGGGACAGGAATGGGACGTGGGGAGAGGGGAGATACTCGTCTCAGAGGGGAAGGGGAAGGGGAATAGGAATAATACAATACTCCAGGTCCTGAGACGTCTCGAAATAATATAATACTCCAGGTCCTTGAGTTTGATTGAACTGCCTCAGATTTTTGAGTCGACTCGAAAATCGACTTATTACACACGTTTTGAGCTGACAAAGGAAGAAAAAGGAGGAATGATACTCCAGATCCTTGATTTTGAACTGCTTCAGGCCATGTTTTTTGCACCCTCAGCCTGCAACGAGGTGAGTCTCAAAATGCGCCACTTCTGCTGCCACCATGCTCGCTACTGCTGCCACCATGCTCGCTACTGCTGCCACCATGCTCGCTACTGCTGGCACCATGCTCGCTACTGCTGCCACCATGCTTGCTACTGCTGCCACCATGCTCGCTACTGCTGCCACCATGCTCGCTACTGCTGCCACCATGCTCGCTACTGCTGCCACCATGCTCGCTACTGCTTCTCACGACACTCTTGAGTCATCTCCAAATTCACCTCTTGAGTTGATTTGAAAGCTTACCTCGCCTTTTCTGACGGTGAAGCAGCAGCCAGGTAAGCCCCACGAGCAGCAGTGCAAGAATCGCCACTCCCCCTGCCACTATACCCACCACTACCGCAACTGTTATCCCCCCTGGCGCTGGTGGTGCCGGTGATGTGACGTTGGCATGAGGGTCTGGTGGTGTGAGTGGGAGTTGAGGGCACAAGAAGAAGGAGAGACGAAGGAAAGTGAATAGTGAGAAGGCTCAGTAGCAGTTGCTGCTGCCACCACACCCACCACCAGTGCGACTGAAACCACCCTGACGCTGGTGGTGCCGGTGATGTGACGTTGGCATGAGGGTCTGAAAGAGAGGGGGGTTGAGGGCCAAGGATGAAAAGGAGGTGAACAGTGAGTCGGCTCAGAAGCGGTTCTTGTTTTGAAACGCCTCAAAACAAAACACCAATTTTATCCCGGAGGATTTGAAGACAGGGGGGTTGAGGATTTGAAGACAGGGGGGTTGAGGATTTGAAGACAGGGGGGTTGAGGATTTGAAGACAGGGGGGTTGAGGATTTGAAGACAGGGGGGTTGAGGATTTGAAGACAGGGGGGTTGAGGGTTTGAAGACAGGGGGGTTGAGGATTTGAAGACAGGGGGGTTGAGGATTTGAAGACAGGGGGGTTGAGGATTTGAAGACAGGGGGGTTGAGGATTTGAAGACAGGGGGGTTGAGGGTTTGAAGACAGGGGGGTTGAGGATTTGAAGACAGGGGGGTTGAGGGTTTGAAGACAGGGGGGTTGAGGATTTGAAGACAGGGGGGTTGAGGGTTTGAAGACAGGGGGGTTGAGGATTTGAAGACAGGGGGGTTGAGGATTTGAAGACAGGGGGGTTGAGGATTTGAAGACAGGGGGGTTGAGGATTTGAAGACAGGGGGGTTGAGGGTTTGAAGACAGGGGGGTTGAGGATTTGAAGACAGGGGGGTTGAGGATTTGAAGACAGGGGGGTTGAGGATTTCAAGACAGGGGGGTTAAGGATTTGAAGACAGGGGGGTTGAGGGTTTGAAGACAGGGGGGTTGAGGATTTGAAGACAGGGGGGTTGAGGGTTTGAAGACAGGGGGGTTGAGGATTTGAAGACAGGGGGGTTGAGGGTTTGAAGACAGGGGGGTTGAGGATTTGAAGACAGGGGGGTTGAGGATTTGAAGACAGGGGGGTTGAGGGTTTGAAGACAGGGGGGTTGAGGGTTTGAAGACAGGGGGGTTGAGGATTTGAAGACAGGGGGGTTGAGGATTTGAAGACAGGGGGGTTGAGGGTTTGAAGACAGGGGGGTTGAGGATTTGAAGACAGGGGGGTTGAGGGTTTGAAGACAGGGGGGTTGAGGATTTGAAGACAGGGGGGTTGAGGGTTTGAAGACAGGGGGGTTGAGGATTTGAAGACAGGGGGGTTGAGGATTTGAAGACAGGGGGGTTGAGGGTTTGAAGACAGGGGGGTTGAGGATTTGAAGACAGGGGGGTTGAGGATTTGAAGACAGGGGGGTTGAGGATTTGAAGACAGGGGGGTTGAGGGTTTGAAGACAGGGGGGTTGAGGATTTGAAGACAGGGGGGTTGAGGATTTGAAGACAGGGGGGTTGAGGATTTGAAGACAGGGGGGTTGAGGGTTTGAAGACAGGGGGGTTGAGGATTTGAAGACAGGGGGGTTGAGGATTTGAAGACAGGGGGGTTGAGGGTTTGAAGACAGGGGGGTTGAGGATTTGAAGACAGGGGGGTTGAGGATTTGAAGACAGGGGGGTTGAGGATTTGAAGACAGGGGGGTTGAGGATTTGAAGACAGGGGGGTTGAGGATTTGAAGACAGGGGGGTTGAGGATTTGAAGACAGGGGGGTTGAGGGTTTGAAGACAGGGGGGTTGAGGATTTGAAGACAGGGGGGTTGAGGGTTTGAAGACAGGGGGGTTGAGGATTTGAAGACAGGGGGGTTGAGGATTTGAAGACAGGGGGGTTGAGGGTTTGAAGACAGGGGGGTTGAGGATTTGAAGACAGGGGGGTTGAGGATTTGAAGACAGGGGGGTTGAGGATTTGAAGACAGGGGGGTTGAGGGTTTGAAGACAGGGGGGTTGAGGATTTGAAGACAGGGGGGTTGAGGATTTGAAGACAGGGGGGTTGAGGATTTGAAGACAGGGGGGTTGAGGGTTTGAAGACAGGGGGGTTGAGGATTTGAAGACAGGGGGGTTGAGGATTTGAAGACAGGGGGTTTGAGGGTTTGAAGACAGGGGGGTTGAGGATTTGAAGACAGGGGGGTTGAGGATTTGAAGACAGGGGGGTTGAGGATTTGAAGACAGGGGGGTTGAGGATTTGAAGACAGGGGGGTTGAGGATTTGAAGACAGGGGGGTTGAGGATTTGAAGACAGGGGGGTTGAGGGTTTGAAGACAGGGGGGTTGAGGATTTGAAGACAGGGGGGTTGAGGATTTGAAGACAGGGGGGTTGAGGATTTGAAGACAGGGGGGTTGAGGATTTGAAGACAGGGGGGTTGAGGGTTTGAAGACAGGGGGGTTGAGGATTTGAAGACAGGGGGGTTGAGGATTTGAAGACAGGGGGGTTGAGGATTTGAAGACAGGGGGGTTGAGGGTTTGAAGACAGGGGGGTTGAGGATTTGAAGACAGGGGGGTTGAGGATTTGAAGACAGGGGGGTTGAGGATTTGAAGACAGGGGGGTTGAGGGTTTGAAGACAGGGGGGTTGAGGATTTGAAGACAGGGGGGTTGAGGATTTGAAGACAGGGGGGTTGAGGGTTTGAAGACAGGGGGGTTGAGGATTTGAAGACAGGGGGGTTGAGGATTTGAAGACAGGGGGGTTGAGGATTTGAAGACAGGGGGGTTGAGGATTTGAAGACAGGGGGGTTGAGGGTTTGAAGACAGGGGGGTTGAGGATTTGAAGACAGGGGGGTTGAGGGTTTGAAGACAGGGGGGTTGAGGATTTGAAGACAGGGGGGTTGAGGATTTGAAGACAGGGGGGTTGAGGATTTGAAGACAGGGGGGTTGAGGATTTGAAGACAGGGGGGTTGAGGGTTTGAAGACAGGGGGGTTGAGGATTTGAAGACAGGGGGGTTGAGGATTTGAAGACAGGGGGGTTGAGGATTTGAAGACAGGGGGGTTGAGGGTTTGAAGACAGGGGGGTTGAGGATTTGAAGACAGGGGGGTTGAGGATTTGAAGACAGGGGGGTTGAGGATTTGAAGACAGGGGGGTTGAGGGTTTGAAGACAGGGGGGTTGAGGATTTGAAGACAGGGGGGTTGAGGATTTGAAGACAGGGGGGTTGAGGGTTTGAAGACAGGGGGGTTGAGGATTTGAAGACAGGGGGGTTGAGGATTTGAAGACAGGGGGGTTGAGGATTTGAAGACAGGGGGGTTGAGGATTTGAAGACAGGGGGGTTGAGGATTTGAAGACAGGGGGGTTGAGGGTTTGAAGACAGGGGGGTTGAGGATTTGAAGACAGGGGGGTTGAGGATTTGAAGACAGGGGGGTTGAGGATTTGAAGACAGGGGGGTTGAGGATTTGAAGACAGGGGGGTTGAGGATTTGAAGACAGGGGGGTTGAGGATTTGAAGACAGGGGGGTTGAGGATTTGAAGACAGGGGGGTTGAGGATTTGAAGACAGGGGGGTTGAGGATTTGAAGACAGGGGGGTTGAGGATTTGAAGACAGGGGGGTTGAGGATTTGAAGACAGGGGGGTTGAGGATTTGAAGACAGGGGGGTTGAGGATTTGAAGACAGGGGGGTTGAGGATTTGAAGACAGGGGGGTTGAGGATTTGAAGACAGGGGGGTTGAGGATTTGAAGACAGGGGGGTTGAGGGTTTGAAGACAGGGGGGTTGAGGATTTGAAGACAGGGGGCTTGAGGATTTGAAGACAGGGGGGTTGAGGATTTGAAGACAGGGGGGTTGAGGATTTGAAGACAGGGGGGTTGAGGATTTGAAGACAGGGGGGTTGAGGATTTGAAGACAGGGGGGTTGAGGATTTGAAGACAGGGGGGTTGAGGATTTGAAGACAGGGGGGTTGAGGATTTGAAGACAGGGGGGTTGAGGGCCAAGGAAGAAAGGAAGGTGAATAGAGTGAGTCGGCTCAGGAGCCTTTCCTGCTGCCACCACACCAACTATTGGTTCGATTGCAGTTCAAATCCCCCCTGATGCTGTTGCCTGCGATATGATGTTGTGGTTGAGGGCAACGGAAGAAGTGAGACGAAGGAAAGGAAGGTGAATGATGGGTCAGTTCAGGAGCCGTTCCTGCTGCCATCTGGACCATCTGGGCCGTAGAACCCCTGCCAACCGAACCCAAGCACTCACCATCTGGGCCGTAGAACCCCTGGATGGTGTATGGCCCCATGGCAGAGCCCAGTAGGAGGAGCTTGTGGGCGTCAAAGAGACTCGGGATCCTCTTTTTGTAGGTCCGGGCGGGCTCTTGCTGCCACCCGGGGTCGTCTAGCGGGGGGAAGAAGAGGATGGTCACGGTGACGTCGCTATCCGTGGCGGTAGGGATTACGATGCTGCTGATGACGATCTGATGGGCGGGGGTGGAGGTGATTGGGTGTGGTGGAGAGGGATGCGCAGAGGATGAGAGAGGGGGGGAAAAGAGGATGGTCATGGTGACGTCACTGTCCGTGGCAGTAGGGATTACGATGCTGCTGATGACGATCTGATGGGCGGGGGAGGGAGGGGTGGAACCACGTGTAAAAAGTAGATTTTTGAGACGTCTCAAAAAACTACTTTCTTTGCGATGCTGCTGATGACGATCTGATGCGGGGGGGAGGGAGGGGAGGAATTGAATGGTGGGGAGAGAACAGGGATTATGATGGTGCTGCTGATGGATGATGGTGCTGCTGATGGATGATGGTGCTGCTGATGGATGATGGTGCTGCTGAAGGATGATGGTGCTGCTGATGGATGATGGTGCTGATGGTGGATGATGGTGCTGCTGATGGATGATGGTGCTGCTGATGGATGATGGTGCTGCTGATGGATGATGGTGCTGCTGATGGATGATGGTGCTGCTGATGGATGATGGTGCTGCTGATGGATGATGGTGCTGCTGATGGATGATGGTGCTGCTGATGGATGATGGTGCTGCTGATGGATGATGGTGCTGCTGATGGATGATGGTGCTGCTGATGGATGATGGTGCTGCTGATGGATGATGGTGCTGCTGATGGATGATAGTGCTGATGGTGGATGATGGTGCTGCTGATGGATGATGGTGCTGCTGATGGATGATGGTGCTGCTGATGGATGATGGTCCTGCTGATGGATGATGGTGCTGCTGATGGATGATGGTGCTGATGATGGATGATGGTGCTGCTGATGGATGATGGTGCTGCTGATGGATGATGGTGCTGCTGATGGATGATGGTGCTGATGGTGGATGATGGTGCTGCTGATGGATGATGGTGCTGCTGATGGATGATGGTGCTGCTGATGGATGATGGTGCTGCTGATGGATGATGGTGCTGCTGATTGGATGATGGTGCTGCTGATCGATGATGGTGCTGCTGATGGATGATGGTGCTACTGATGGATGATGGTGCTGCTGATGGATGATGGTGCTGCTGATGGATGATGGTGCTGCTGATGGATGATGGTGCTGCTGATGGATGATGGTGCTGCTGATGGATGATGGTGCTGCTGAAGGATGATGGTGCTGCTGATGGATGATGGTGCTGCTGATGGATGATGGTGCTACTGATGGATGATGGTGCTGCTGATGGATGATGGTGCTGCTGATGGATGATGGTGCTGATGGTGGATGATGGTGCTACTGATGGATGATGGTGCTGCTGATGGATGATGGTGCTGCTGATGGATGATGGTGCTGCTGATGGATGATGGTGCTGCTGAAGGATGATGGTGCTGCTGATGGATGATGGTGCTGATGGTGGATGATGGTGCTGCTGATGGATGATGGTGCTGCTGATGGATGATGGTGCTGCTGATGGATGATGGTGCTGCTGATGGATGATGGTGCTGCTGATGGATGATGGTGCTGCTGATGGATGATGGTGCTGATGGTGGATGATGGTGCTGCTGATGGATGATGGTGCTGCTGATGGATGATGGTGCTGCTGATGGATGATGGTGCTACTGATGGATGATGTTGCTGCTGATGGATGATGTTGCTGCTGATGGATGATGGTGCTGATGGTGGATGATGGTGCTGCTGATGGATGATGGTGCTGCTGATGGATGATGGTGCTGCTGATGGATGATGGTGCTGCTGATGGATGATGGTGCTGCTGATGGATGATGGTGCTGCTGATGGATGATGGTGCTACTGATGGATGATGGTGCTGCTGATGGATGATGGTGCTGCTGATGGATGATGGTGCTGCTGATGGATGATGGTGCTGCTGATGGATGATGGTGCTGATGGTGGATGATGGTGCTGCTGATGGATGATGGTGCTGCTGATGGATGATGGTGCTGCTGATGGATGATGGTGCTGCTGATGGATGATGGTGCTGCTGATGGATGATGGTGCTGCTGATGGATGATGGTGCTACTGATGGATGATGGTGCTGCTGATGGATGATGGTGCTGCTGATGGATGATGGTGCTGCTGATGGATGATGGTGCTGCTGATGGATGATGGTGCTGCTGATGGATGATGGTGCTGCTGATGGATGATGGTGCTGCTGATGGATGATGGTGCTACTGATGGATGATGTTGCTGCTGATGGATGATGGTGCTGATGGTGGATGATGGTGCTGCTGATGGATGATGGTGCTGCTGATGGATGATGGTGCTGCTGATGGATGATGGTGCTGCTGATGGATGATGGTGCTGCTGATGGATGATGGTGCTGCTGATGGATGATGGTGCTACTGATGGATGATGGTGCTGCTGATGGATGATGGTGCTGCTGATGGATGATGGTGCTGCTGATGGATGATGGTGCTGCTGATGGATGATGGTGCTGCTGATGGATGATGGTGCTGCTGATGGATGATGGTGCTGCTGATGGATGATGGTGCTGCTGATGGATGATGGTGCTGATGTGGATGATGGTGCTGCTGATGGATGATGGTGCTGCTGATGGATGATGGTGCTGCTGATGGATGATGGTGCTGCTGATGGATGATGGTGCTGCTGATGGATGATGGTGCTGCTGATGGATGATGGTGCTACTGATGGATGATGGTGCTGCTGATGGATGATGGTGCTGCTGATGGATGATGGTGCTGCTGATGGATGATGGTGCTGCTGATGGATGATGGTGCTGATGGTGGATGATGGTGCTGCTGATGGATGATGGTGCTGCTGATGGATGATGGTGCTGCTGATGGATGATGGTGCTGCTGATGGATGATGGTGCTGCTGATGGATGATGGTGCTGCTGATGGATGATGGTGCTGCTGATGGATGATGGTGCTGCTGATGGATGATGGTGCTGCTGATGGATGATGGTGCTGTTGATGGTAATTTGATTTGATGAAAGAAGGGGAGGAGGGACAGAGCAGGGGAGAGGGGCGGAGAGAGGAATGGAGAGGGATGGAGAGGGGCGGAGAGGGATGGACGGAAGATATCGAGGGGAGAGGGTGACGGGGGTTAAAAAGTGGTGGGGATTTATTGAGGGGGGAGGAGGGAAAAAGCAGGGGAGGGGGGAGGAGAGAGGGAGGAATGACCTATTGAGAGGGGGAGGAGGGATGAATGACCTATTGAGAGGGGGAGGAGGGAGGGATGACCTATTGAGAGGGGAAGGAAGGAGGAATGACCTATTGAGAGGGGAAGGAGGGAGGGATGAGGGCGATAGGAAGATATGAGCAGGGGTGGAGAGAGGCAACCTCCCACCCTCCCGCCCACCCGCCCACCCTCCCACCCTCCCACCCACCCACCCACCCGCCCACCCACCCACCCAACCACCCACCCACCCTCCCACCCACCCTTCCTCTCACCCGCCCGCCCACCCACCCAACCACCCACCTGCAACCACTTCATCTTCACGCCTTGCCTTTGCAAGTTGGTCCGGAGCCATCCCCTAATTTTGTTCACAATGTCCTGGTTGTAAGTGGTGTACTGCGGTGCCAGCATCCTCAGCCGCACCTCTAGGGTGGTCACGCAGCTGCAGTTCTTATTCGAAAGCTTGAAGAGCGGGTAGTTGGGGTGGTAGTATTGGTCGCAGGTCAGGCCTGTGCAGAACGGCGGGAGCTTGTATGCGGGGAACTCGGCGGGCGGAGAGCAGACCGTGAAGAGATCGGGCTGATAGGGCGAGCAGAGGGGATTCCCGTAGAGCCTGGAGAGGGGTGGAGAGGGGTGGAGAGGTGCAGACTGTGAAGATGTTGGGGTGATAGGGCGAGCAGAGGGGATTGCCGTAGAGCCTGGAGAGTGGGGTGGAGAGGGGTGCAGAGAGGGGTAGAGATGGACAAGATACGAGCATTACAATCACTCACTGTCGGTCTTAAAAGATGGACTAGATACTCGACTCGCTGTATGCTTTAAAAGATGAAACACGCAAAAGCACTCACTGCGTTTCGAGTTTCTTGTGGGTTGTGTTAATAAGGAGGTTGCTTGGAGCACTGGTGAAGTGGTTGCTTGGAGCACTGGTGAAGTGGTTGCTTGGAGCACTGGTGAAGTGGTTGCTTGGAGCAATGGTGAAGTGGTTGCTTGGAGCACTGGTGAAGTGGTTGCTTGGAGCACTGGTGAAGTGGTTGCTTGGAGCACTGGTGAAGTGGTTGCTTGGAGCGAGAACAACATCATTCTTGGTTCTGAGGTGCCTCAGAAGTGCCCCCGTGAACTATCTTTTGAGCCGTCTCAAGAAGAGAGAAACAACAAGCTTGGCTTCTGAGGTGCCTCAAAGGTGCCCCCCCTTGAATTTTCAACCTCTCACTGCATCTTGAAAGCGTCGTGGCTTGTGTTGACTAAGAGGCGGCTTGCAGACCTGGTGACTGGTGAACATCAACGGTTGGTGAAGTGGTTGTTACAGAGAAAGAGCAACATTAACGCGGGGAGCTGCCTCAAATCAAAAGCCCCCTGTAGTTTCAGCCACTCACTGGGTCATGAGATTTTCCTTGGTATTGTTGGTTGGGTGAACCAGGAGGTCGCTGGGAGAACTTGTGAAGTGGTTATCACGGAGCGAGAGGAGCATCAATGAAGGAGTCTCAAAATCAGACCCCCCCCTCCTGTATTTCCAACCACTCACTGGGTCATGAGGTTGTCCTTTGAATTCTTGGTCGGGTTAACTAGGAGGTCGCTTGGAGCACTTGTGAAGTGATTATCGTAGAGAGAGAGGAGCATCAATGCGGGGAGCTGCCTCAGCTTGGGGATGTCACCCGTCAGGTTGTTGCCAGACAGGGATCTGTGTGGAGCGGGTGTTGAGAGGAGTGGGTGTTGAGAGGAGTGTTGTTGAGAGGAGTGGGTGTTGAGTAAAGTGGGGTGTTGAGAGGAGTGGGTGTTGAGAGGAGCGGGTGATGAGAGGAGCAGGTGATGAGACGGGTGCTGAGTGTTTATAGGAACTACTGCTGCTCCGGGTAAATGGTATAATAAAAAAGAGTGTAGGCAAAAAAAAAAACAAACTGGGGTAAGTTGGGCCTTACATTGTGCAAAGATTAGGTAAGTCTGCAGTGGCTGCATCAGGAGGTATGGTCCCTGTGAGATTGTTGTCCTGAAGGTTTCTGCAGGCAAGGGGGTGGGGGTGGGAGGAGGAA